AAAAAAAAAAAAAATTAAAAAAAGGTTTGAGATTATTATAAGTTTTATTTCAGCATTTTTTAGTCTGAAAGATTTGGAGTTTTCAGCTGAATCTTTTTTTATCTTGAAATTCCACAGGAAAAAAAAAAAAGGAATTAGTGTATTTTGTAGATTTAAAAAGAGATTGAAATGAAATGTTTTTCCTTCAGATTTGTAGCTTGTGATGGTCTCCAAAGTTTTAACTTTTTTTGCCCAGTTGGGAATGGGGACACTTTTTTCTCCTGCAAAACTTTTGACGACAGGGAAGCCGACTGCTCTGCTTTCCTAAGTAGCTTTCTAAGTGGGGTTCTAAATGCGAAAGTTGGCATAGGACACAGAAGAGTGGCCAAAAGTGAGTGTGCATGCTAAACTGTGAACAGTGATTGAAGTGCGAATCAACATGCTTTTACTCCCTGAGAAGCTTTGTTACATGATGCGTCTAGAAAAAGCCTCAAATCTCAGATTTGGAGAGTGCTTTAGGCAGAAACCATACTTTCTGGTTCTTCCTGTGCTTACCACAGTCTGTCTGTTGCCTCCAGCCTTTCATATTGACTCCTTGCTGCTGACAAGCCAGCACATATTCCTCCAGACTGCGACATAAGGTAGCATTCTCATCTCCTTCCACACACATATCAAACAGGCAGCTCCTATGTGCAACATGAGAAAGTGTTCATTCCCAATACATTTGTTACTGTTTATTTTCAGCTGCTTTTCTGCTCGAGTCTGAGTTACTTTCATTTTCCTGTATCTTGCTGATAGGAAAACAGAGGAATAAAAAAAACCCACCGAAGCCAGCCACGTGATTGAGAAGATCAGGTGATCTGTTGTGCAGCTGCTGCTAACACGCGAGGCATTCGTATATGGAAAAGCGATAAACAAGTACCTAACTGCTTGTCACAGTGAGTTATTCTTTGCTGTCTGCTTCTGGTTTGGGCTAGCCTGCCTGTACCTTGCTTATAGAGCACTTTTTAGTACTGCTAAGTCTTATAGCTGGACTACGCACTTCTTTCGATACATGAGTGCCCTGGCCATGTCCATATGCCTTGAATATTGACACGGAATTCTGTTTTACCCAGTGTTTGTTTACCAGTGATACCGTCTCAGCTTTGCTTGTCATCTGACTATCCATGGCCTGATTTTCAGAGGCATTGAGATCTGAGACGAATGGAATCTGCAAGTATGCAGCACCTCAGAAAAATCAGGCAACCTACTAAGAAGGTAAAACAGGCTGCCCAACCAAATTCTAGAGTGAGGAGAAAAGTATGTTAAGAATCAGGATATATATATTGAAGCCACTGGTCCAGTTTATTTGGCTTAAGATACCTTCACATTCTTGTCACAGCTATGAGGGACTTTGAAGTGGGCATTAGCTACCTTTAAACATTAGTCACAACTATATGACTAAAGAAAACTGGCAGCTACTTGGCAATTTTGTGACTGATGATGGATGAATGGTGAATCTGGGGATGAATCAACAGGTTTCATACAGCTCAAAACTAGGCGTGTAGGAATTGTATATGTAGGAGGCCAGAGCAGCCTTGAAACACAGCAGGGGGAACTTCCTTGAAGATACTGGGTTAGTTACTCTTCACTAATCTGTTTTTTGCTCTTCTCCATGAAAGACTGAAGAAGTGGCACTGTCAGCTTCAGCCTTTGTGGCCATAGCATGAAGGCTAGATTTTATGAAGCTGGAATTGCTAAAAGGTACCTGAGCCAAATACCAAATTCTCACTGAATGTAGATGAGAACTGTAAGCACACTGGAAATCCCAGCTTACAAGTATAATGCTTAACACTGCTGCTTTTTCTGTGTAGGAAAAGAGGAAAGTTACTTTCTCGAGCTAACAGAAAAGCCAAACTCTAAATAGATGGAAGGATAGGTCATCACAATTATTTAAAAATACATAAAGGGATTTAAATAGATCAATATTATACATCAATAATATATCAATATATCACTGGGCCCTGTTCTCCAAAAGCATTTCCTATCCTCAATTCCTGTTAATACCTTGGAGACTGAAGATGCAAGTTCTTGTCAGAAACTAGCGCCAAAATGGTTTTGCAAATGCGGAGAACAGCTGTCTGCAGAAGACACTTACGTGAAATAGAAGTTTGGTGAGACCACAGAATGACAATTTACAAAAGGACCACTCGAGTCAGTCAGGATTTGACATCTAGAAGTTCTATTTTCTTGCCCCAGCTGATTTTCATTGCAGCCTTGGAAGAGCCCTGGATCTGGTTCCTCCTCAGACTCATTTTTTGAATTGACATCTCGCCTGGAAATGAAGTCATTATGAAACCGTCAGTTCTCTGGACATCCAGCATTCCTGGTACTACTCTCTAAGTAACACCGCAAGAGTAATTCTGCCTTGTGGTATAAGCGTAAGCTTATTTCTCTCTCATGATTTATCCTGAATGGGAAGGACATACATGAAGCAAATCAAAGATGCACTAGAACGCTTCTTACCATCTCAGAGATTTATGGGTATTTAAATCAAAATGGATAGCTGTAATTATCTCTTTGGAAATTCTGCATGACACAGGCTTGATCCAATGCCTCCTTCATCCAGTCTATTCAGTAAAACTTGAATGTTAGTGAGAATGATGCAGCTGGAATAGGCCGCTATTTCTGGGACGTGTGCTCACTTTCACTGAACAGCTGGCTGCACGCCTGAAGTGCCTGAATCGTCCTGTAGGCATAGCCTCCGGAACCCCTTTATGCTCAACACTAGCCTACATACTGCTTTCTACTATTCTGGCAGACAAGTTTTTGCAGCCAAATTATATCCTGACAGATAATACAATTCCATTTACTTGCTGAAAAAGTTCTGCGTTAGTGGCTAAGCAACCTCCAGAAGTCTTTCGAAGCAAATTGAGAAGAAAGGAAGGAAACCTCTGTCCCTACCTGCTTTACCTGTTTCAATGCTCTGTATGGACTAATTAGCACAGAATTTGCCTGATTACAAATATAATGTTTATTTATACTGAAAAGAATGTCTTTGCTTTTTGTGTACTGTCGGAAAACACTAGATAGCCATGAAAGTAAGGAAATCAGACTCTCCCAGAACTTGTTCTGGGAGAAATTGTGAATTCATCTGGATGGATTTCAAAGCTACCTTCATGTTCCAGAGGGAGGGATGACACTGAACCAGGATTTGTTCTCCCTGAGGCCCATCCAGCACATCATGATGTATTTATCTTTCCCGGGAATCATGAGCTTGCCAAAGATCTTATTCATTCCCCTGCCCTAGCAGTTGTAACGGCTGTGACTCCAAAGAGGGATACTGAACTGGACTAATGCAGTGATAGTTCAGGCCTCTCTTGGCTAGATAGAAGGATCCTGATAGTTCACATTAGTGACAAGCAGGAAAAGTCTCTACACACAGACCAAGGGATGAAGAAAGACCAGAGATGAGAGACTATAGTTATTCCTGGATATTAACTATGGCTTAATTCACTTGCTTCCACTGGCTGCGCTTGCCATGGGTATTAAGTAGAAAATTAAGTACCTGACACGAGAAGTTGTTCTTTTTAGGGGAACTTTCCAGCTCTCACCAAATGCATTCACATTCTTCACCCAAACACCATCTGATTTTGTGAAGTCATTTCTGTATCTCCCATCGAAGTCACCACACAAGCCTTCCACTCTGTTTCTGTAGGTGTTGGCCAGCTTTATATCTAGGGAAGTTCAGAAGAAAAAAAAAAAACACAACAAACCATTACACAGAAATCTTTGCTTCTGAGTGCATGGAAGAGGTGGAAAGCAATGCCAAGTACTGCATTTCATGATTCAGACTGGAGTTGGTCGTGTGACATGGGCCTCATACATGGGGTATGAACACAGCCCCAAACGTACATGTTCATACATGTTTTCACAGGACTGTTTCTGTGCTCTGCAACACAGATCATGAAAAAAGTGATTTCTTGTGGCCAGGAAGTTATTACATAACATGACATCACCACCTGAGTGCTCTCAGTGCACACCGCTTACGGCTCTGCAACAAACTGAATGCACCACCCATTTTTTGCCCTTCACTTACAGTTCACTTGCTTGTTGAGAAACAGAAGTCCTATAAAACAGACCTTTTCTTTCTGCAGTTGGAATTTTAGAGCTTGGAATGATGGTCGTGTATAAATGGCCTGGCACTTTCGCCAGGTACTCAAAAGTAACATGACCATATTCTGTTGTAAATCAGAAGTAACTCTGCTTTGAACAGAGGAGGTAACATGAGTGAGTTGTGTATTTGTGATAGAAGAGTCCTGCTGAGAAACACTAAAGAATGGGATTATCTGGAATAGGCTTGAGAGGAAGCATGTAAAAGGATGCATTCACAGCTGGATAGCTTGAGGACCTCAGTCCTATGACTGAGTGAAGCTGCCAAAGGGGCAGATCCAGACTTCACCAGATCATCCTGATCAGCAATTTTAAGTGATTTGCTTTCGTTTTTATCACTCAGGCCATACTTAACATGAAAAAAGTAGAACAGTCTGACTCTACATCTCATTTCTCCTAAGTTCAGGTGGATCCAGATAAAGAGATGCCAGTTTTCTGTTTTTTCTGATTCCTGGGAAACACTTTTTGTTTCGATTTTATGGAAGTTCATATCACAAAGGACCATAGGCTCAAAGGGCAAAGATTTCTAATTTTGCCTTGGGTTTAGAACTTCTTTGGAATGAGAACATTTTTTGAGACAGTGCATAAATATTCCTGTACATTGTCTTAATATCACTTACCTGCATTTTGATTGCCATCAAAGCTCACGTATAAGCCAAAATCTGTCTCCAGGTAAATTCTTGTTGTCCTCTGATATATACGAATACCTTCATGAGGATGAGCAGGGGTTCTCACCCTCACACCATCCAACTAACAGGGAAAGAATAAGTTAAAATTCATAATATATAGGCCAAATTAAAATCTGGCTTCAGTACAGGTCAATGCTACGAATGAACACTCCTCCTCTTTGGTTTTATGATAAATATATCAGATAATTTAGCCACGTAAAAAAATCAGTATTCAATTTTTTGAAGTTAACAAAATCATGTAGTGAGGAAAGTGATCTGGACACAGTATTTTCATGTCATCCTAAGACATTTCTATTACTGAGCTAAAAATGTATATATGAGCTATGTATACTCTTATGCACCAATAAAGAACAAGGAAATTAAGTTTTCCTAGCATAATTCACACTCCTCTTTTCCTTAACACTGATAAAAATATGTATGGCTTTATTGTAAATCTTAGGATATTTGGGGTTTTATTCCTAAATCTCAATTTTTTCATTTATTTGTTTGAAGTAGAATTCTGTCCTTCATAGCTCTAGAGAAAAAAGACTCAACACAACCGAAAATCACGTTTGTGGTTACTCCACAGCACTGCTGTAATAATATAGTTAGCTTTAATACTTCAATTCTTCAGAACAGACATTCATTACTCATGTTTTACTCTAATGGAGAGCCTTTCTCTGTGCTCTGCAGTCAGTGAGACTTACCACCAGCTGCTTGTTCTGCCTGAATCGCACTGTGTGATTGTAAACATTGATGAGAATCTCCTTCAGGTAAGTAATGTGTCGACTTCGATGGAAAGGATAGTTCATGCCTTCAATGCTGAACTGTGTCAGAGTATCAGGTAGGTCAGGGATGGTCTGAGCCAGAATATACGTGTATTTCCCTTGAAAGTGGTGCACCAGACCATCAAAGGTGATGTAGTGTGGATCGCCCATGACCCGGCATTTCCCAAAACCTAAAGGAAAAGAGCTTCATTACTCTCCAGTCTGAATGTGCATATGCCAGATCCCAAGCACTTTAACATAAGTTAGGTAAAAATGATTGCTGATAGCATGTAGGTTTCTTAAAATAAAAATGGGTGCTCAGGCATCACCCTAGTGATTGGGCACTCAAATGGAGAGTCAGCCAGAGAAATTCATTCATCTGCCTGGAACCAGTGCGAGCCAACTGAACTGAAGCAGAACATTAGGGTTTATAGGCTTCATAGAGACTAAGCCGTGCGCAATGGTTCTCAGCAGAGGAATGACTCTGCCACACAGCCTGGCTTGCAGTGGGCTCTTAGAGACGTCGGTTTCATAATCCTCAGCAACATGTTACTACAAAATTATTACAACAGGAAATGCAATGTCTAATTTTGGCTGTCTCACTGCTGGCACACTGATTTCTTCTGAGGTTACTAAATTGCTCATGGGGTTCACCAGACCGAACAGTCAGATGCAATGACTATCGTTTAGGTATTCTCCTTAACCATTGAGCACAGAGCAAACCATTATCCCAGGACCAAGGCTCTCCTTAAGACTGCTGGGGTGCCTCTGCTGTGGTATCACTACAAGAAAGACATAGAGGTCCTGGAGCATGGCAGAGAAGGGCAACAAAGCTGGTGAGGGGTATGGAGAACAAGTCTTATGAGGAGCAGCTGAGGGAATTGGGGTTGTTTAGCCTGGAGAAAAGGAGGCTGAGGGGAGACCTTATCCCTCTCTACAAGTACCTGATAGGAAGTTGTAGAGAGGTGGGGGTTGACCTCGTCTCGCTAGTAATAAGCGATAGGACAAGAGGAAATGGCCTTAAGTTAGCCAGGGTAGGTTTAGGATAGATATTAGGAAAAAGTTCTTCACAGAAAGGGTTGTTAAGCATTGGAACAGGCTGCCCGGGGAAGTGGTGGAGTCACCATCCCTGGAGGTATTTAAAAGACAGGTAGACGTGGGGCTTGGGGACATGGTTTAGTGGTAGTTTTGGCAATGTTAGGTTGATACTTGGACTTGATGTTCTTAAAGGTCCCTTCCAACCTAGACAATTCCATGATTCCATGACTCAATTTTGCCAAAATGGAGCAGGAGAAAGCTGGATTTGCATTATGCTCTTCTACTAATCACCAATACAGTAGGACCTATGCCATACCACTCTTCAAAATTGAAGTGTAGAGTCACTACGCAACAAGCTACCTCCTAAACAATCCAATTTATCTTAGAATATGCGAATCAAAGTTCTCTTGCTAGCCTATTACATATCTGTTCAGATTTGCTCTGTACTGTTTTGCCTTTATTTTTTCTGATTTCAAATCAACACACAATGGAAAAAACAGGATCATTGCCAAAGGATTCACAGACATAGCTGGGTTTTGGGTTTGGCAGATCCAGTGCAAATCTTTTTTTCTTATTTTTCTTTTTCCTTTAAAGTAGTCAAACTGAACTGTCAAATTTCTAGATGTAAGTAAATGTTCAAACTCTTGTTCCACTTCCCTCTACAAACTTTCTCTTTTGTACTGGAACTTTCAATTCTGAGAACTGAGGCCTTTTTGTGTTCAATAATATGTCATCAATAGCACTGTTAGAGCTTCCTTCTTTTCTGTGGAAAAGCCTGGAAGAGCCATGGAAGAAAGAATGGAGACCCACATCCTTCCTCCTTCACCATCCCTCACCAGGCAAAGACTTGCCTACACATACCTGTTGGATTGCACTTGTGTTTTCCATTTTTGATCACGCAGGTTTCTTTAGAATCACAGCCATAGCTCGTACATTTGATGACACCGTTCTTCTGACACTGGCATCTTTTGGTGCAGTGTGGAGTTATCCAGGTCTCCCCAGCCTGGATGCAAGTTGTGTTAGTAATACGTTACCAAAGTGCTCAGCTTTGCAGTGCAATAGAAGTTCAATAGCAAAGGGTGTGGGGGCTGGCTAGGTGCAGCCTGCCTAGTTGGCAGTTCCACAACTGCTCGATCCAGGCATAGTCTCACCAAGAGCCTGGCGGGGGGGGTGGGGGGGATCTCAGTCCATTTATCGTACTGTCTTCGACATGAGAATTTGAACACAAAGCAGGACTAGGACAGACTGCCTGAATAACTCTGATCAATTGACTAGTTTAGAATATGCCTCAATTTTGGCCTCGGGTGCAAAGTACCAAGCTCCTAATACCTGAGCCTGCAGTTTTTACTGATCAGATGAACGATATTTCTTCAGGTAGACCCTGAAGATTTCTCTCTCTCTCTCATTCAGATGGACAGGGGACCAACTTTCCACAAGTTCTGCAGCCAGAGATTTGCTTCCCAGACAAACTACTTACACTGTAGTAATTGTTGTCATCATCCCTGCAGCCACAATTGCTCAGAGGTACACACTTGCCGTTACTGAGCACATAGTTATTATCACACTCACAGCCCTCTGTGCACTGTTCTGTCTTCTCACACAGGGAAGAGGCAAAAATGTCATTGCATGTTGATGGGCAGGTGGAGACACAGTCCGTGTAATAGCTGTGGAGTGGACAGGGCAATGCTGTGCGGGTGAGGAGAATAGAACCAGCGTTATTAAGTACATTTAGAAAGTGCACTGCAAACACATGTGCCTACCTGGAAGCTACAACTTGGGCTATAAAATGTCAGTATAGAATTGCCTTTTAATAGCTGATTTTGATCATCAACCAGTTTTGATTTTTTATATTTTATTTTAAAAAACAAAACAGAGAACCCTCTCTGGAGCTGCTGATTCAGTTCTATTACAAGTATGCTAGATCATTCAGATTCAGTGTTCCAGTTCAGCTGCAAATGGGCACTGCTAGAAATGAGAATCTTTAGGGCAAATTCCTTAGAGTGTTCAACGCTCTAGTGATGCTAAACAGGTGTGTATCTAGCTTAACCACAGACATAAACACATGCAAGAACAACAGATATGCATTTTCAGAGTGAAGATTCCTCTAGCTCTATACCCTATTTCTGCCAATGACTAGAGATGCATAAGGGGACAGTTCAAGAAACAGGGTAGCAGGACAAAGGGTTCGTTTGTCCAGTATTTTCCTCCACTTGTGGCAAGGGGCAACTAGGAATTTCTGATGGACCTTTTCAACATTCATCTGGCTTGGTTTTTAACCAGTTAATTGTTTTGTCCTCCACAACATTATATGATAATTAATCCCACAATGTAATACTAAATTGTGAAAAAAAAAAAAACAACAAAAAGAAACGTACTATGTGATCTTTACTCATTTTTACATAATTTGTAGCTTTGTTGAATGGGTGGAGTGAGGCACATACTCCAGAAACTAATCCGAGAACGTGGCCTTTAATAACCAACTGGCCAGATTATCAGTTTTCATTCAAAACATGGTGAGTGGCATTGAGCCTTGTGTCCTAACACAGTATCCCACTTTGTTTTAGTCTTCTGATTATATTATTTCTCTATTTTAGGCTCATCGCAATAACTCCTGGCACTCATTTGGCTACTAAAGGCAATTCTAACTCCACATTACTATCCATAACTAGTCTAGTCTTGAGTTATCACTGGGTTTAGCTCAACCTGAACACAGGTCAGTGCAACATGAAGTCATGAAATCATAATAGAACTGCATTTTGTGATAATTTGGGGTTAATTTTCTTTTACACAACTTGTACACCTAATACTGCTAATTTGTTTTCATGCGATCAGCCATCGAAGTTTCGGTGTTTTCAATTGCTTGGGCACTTACGGCAGAATGTGCTATTCCTCCATTTAATAATGACTCCATGACTCCTGCAGGTGTCCACATAGAACTGGACTATGTCGCAGAGAGCGGACTTCATGCCATCATACCGGCACATGTCATAGACGCAGATCTGTATGAAGTCTTCGGGCTTGACTAGATTATGACATGCTTTGAATTTGTCCAATTTTAGGACATTGCACTGGCTTTCCATGACTGGTTTATTCTCTGCAGTGCAAGGAGGAACATCATCTTCTCTTAAGTCTGATAAACAGCTGCATGAAAACACAGACATAGCTGCATTTAAGTTTCAAAGGCATATAGAAGATAGAGACCGAAACTGAAAATTTGTTTCTACTGCAAGGCATTAAACAAATAATGCTAGAGACTACAGTCGTCTTCCTGTCTATATGTTAAAGATTAGGCAGAATTAGATCTGTCTAGCAATCACCATGCTGCATCTGACCCTCGTTACTCTCACTGAACTTCCCCCTAGCTAGAGGATTGACTTCTCAGCTTTACCTCGAAACTGTCTTGTCACTGCAAACTTGTGTGGTGATCTGGACTCTGCTGACCCTTGCTTCCATCCTTGGGCTTGCTTTGCCTTGCTCAGGTAGTGTGGGCTGCGCCCCGGCTGGTGAGGCCACTGTTCTCTCAGCTGTGTTTTCACACTTGGCTCCCTGTCCCTTGGGGAGCAGCTGGCGCTCACTGGTCCCCAACACCATTGTCCTGCTCTAGGTTTCTTCAGTGTAAAATAAACAGAGGCTATGCCAGACAGCGGACTGTCCCAAAGCCTAATTCCCCAAGTGGTTAATCACCCCAATTTCCTGTGGTGATGGCTTTTTTTTGGAGCTTCAAATTGAGGAAAAGTCTCATATACAAAGCAGCAAACAGTCAAAACAATCGAGCGGAGACTGTTTACCGAAGGAAAATGGAAGGTAAGAAAAGAAGTTATATTTACCCTTCATCACTGTCTTCCTCCACTTTCCAGCTATTTCCAAACTGTGAAACACTGACGAGCGTACCGTTGGGCAAGGACAAATCATCTTCACGTATATCATTGAAGTTACCACACATGCCCTGTACCTGCAAATGAACAAGAACCATATTCTAAGCACAATCTGTTCTACATCAGCTTCCCCAATAACTTCTTGTTCATCGCCTATGAAATGATGTGACCAAATCACCACCAACAACCAATCTTGTACCAGAAATTTCAGACATGCTCGCTAGTGTCTGACTGTATCCATAGAGAAATAAAATAGAAACTGCAGTAAATCTGTGGTTCCCTAAGGCTTCAAGGTGTTTAATTGAATAAATTGGATGCGTTCCCCTAGCCAGGCCATTTTCTCTAACTACCCTCTTGGAACACAAGGAAATAGCTGTGAAGAGAAAAAAAATAGAAAGGAAAAAATTTACCTGTGTTACTACACAGCTGCAAAGAAAGATGCAAGAGCAAACCACAGGATTAAAAGAAATTAGAAGTCAATGCACAAAGCAGAGGTTTTGAAACAGTCATGCTAAATCTTACCTTTGAGAAATAAGAGTGTGGGAGGGTGATTTCCAGATGGTGATTGCCATCATATTTCACTATCACACCAAAGTCAGTTTCCACTACTAGGAATCTGCCAACGTTTCCAATGGACACACCTCGCAACCGGTTCTCCATTGGAGTGTAGACTCTCTCATTGTTCAACTGGAGAGACATGTCATTTGTTAGTATGGACATTCTTCCATGAAAGCTTTTCTGCCCACAATCTATATTGCTTGCAATGCTGAAGATTTCTCTACGACAGTTTTAGCTCCTTTACACCTCCACCATTGCATATTCCAACTATGGGCTGCAGGAATCAGCCTTTTAGCTGAGGAGAGCTGGGCAGGACTCATAGCCTGTGGCTTTAACAGGGAGCTGGAAAGATCCCTGGTAGTGAGCAAGCTTTTACCCACCCACCCATAGGATTCCCTGCCTCTGGTACTGCCATGTGCTATTCTGGACCAATACAGTATGACTTGCTTTTCCTCTCTCTTTTTAGCTAGCTAAAGGTGATTGGGCTGACAACAGCTATTGAAGTGGGGAGCCCCATTCTTTAGTTCAGGCAACAATTCTCTGATCTGGAAGTTCTGGGCTCCATCTCCAAGATACGGCCAACAGAATGGTAAATCCAAACCAGAAGCCTTGGCAACTGGTGAGAAATGATATTTCCCCATGATACCCAGTTCATTGAGCCCACAAGCATATGCACACATATTCCTCAGGAAACATGAAGATCCTCTTTCCTACAGCTACTGTAGTGAACTAATTTTAAGATACTTGCCAGAATAAAAAGCATCACCACCTACCAGGATTCCTTGGTTTTTCTGAAGAGTGATTCGTACATCATACACATCTACATAGACTTCTTTCAGGTACGTGGCCCCTCTTAATCCTCTGTCTTCATTCTTGCCAAGGATGGTTATAGGAATGACACTGCTGGTGTTGACAACCTCAACTAAGGTGTAGGTGCAGGTACCCACAAAAGTGTACATCATTCGATCAAAAGTGAAATAATGGGGATCTCCTGCCACTTGACATGTTGCTTGGCCTGAAAGTGAAAAAATAAGCTAAGAACTTTGGACTGGATTTCACCATGGACTCCGCTGACCAAAGATGTTTGCATTAGTGCAGTAACCTAATCCCTATCATTATTATGTTGGCAAACCTTCACAGAGGTATCTCAAGTTCATACCGCTGACTTGATTTGGAAATATGAAATTTCTAGAAAGTGTCTCCTAAATTTAATTTGCAATGTATGAACTGGCAACTTGGCAACAAATGAACCTCTTTATACATTTCTATATGCTGTTGTAGGCATTATTTATGGCAGTTGAGAGTAATACAAAGCTTTTCTACTTAACTATATAAAAATACATAATTATATGTATAAATACAGATGCAAATATAAAATTAAATAAATTTGCATCTATATACATAGATACTTAATGCACTCGCCATCACGCAGGCTCTCAGAAGTGCAGTTCTCAATTATTCCCAAATTTAGAGTTTGCAGCACGGGTGATGTGGGACTTGAACTTGTATTATCAAGACGAAAGGAACCCAAGTGATCTTGCAAGCTTTTGGGCAGCATCAGTTTTTGCTGATATCCACTATAACAGAAGAGGATCTGTGCTTGCAAGAGAGATGATTATGTCTTTTCATCTCTTAGCACCGGCAGGAGTCAGTTGGGACTTCTTTGCCATCACATGTGAAAAGATATTTATAATAAAGCCAGAAGGAGAAGAAGGATCTAATTATGGAATTGACATTGAGAACCATCTTCAGGCAGGACTTACCATTGGAATGACAGCCCAGCACACCATCCTGAACACTGCATTCCTCTCGGACTCCACACTCCCAGGATGTGCATTCAATGGTGTTATTAGCGTTGCAGGTGCATCGTTCAGTGCAGGGATAGCTGGTGAACCAGCTTTCATCCAGCTGAGTGGAAAAAAGAGTGTAGAAGTATATACTATTAGATAAATTGGAAGGACAATCAAATTACTGGTATTTAAGTGTGCATTATATATGAACATTTGGGCAATTTTAGCCACACAGCTCACGGATCAAGAAGGCTGGCAAGGTGAGTCTATTTTGTTATTATTAATGGTGTAAATAATAGTTGTGTTAGTGTTACTAATATCTTTTTCTCTCATAGTGATAAAGAAAGAGCTCCCCTGATCATTCTTTAAAAAAAAATAAATAGCTGAGGTAACTTGCCTGGTGATACTGATTTTTTTCATCAACACAACCACAGCTGCTTTCTGGCACACATTTGTCTCCACTCAAAACATAGCCTTCCTTACAGAAACAACCTTCCACTGGTAAGGAACTGCAGGAATCAACTGCTGACATGTTCAAACAGGTAGAGGGACACCTAGTACCACAGCTTTTGTAGATGCTGCCTCCAGGACAAGACATCGCTAGAGAGGAAAAGAAAGCATAAGATCTCTCAAAAGGGCAAAATCATGATAAAAGTTTTCCTGATGCTTTCATTGTTTGCTCCTGAAAAATACACAAAAATTGCTGTTAGAAAATCTAACACTGGAGAGTGCTGCATACAAAGGATTTTCTTGCCATGTGAGATGGGTGGGTTTTGGTAGAGGTGGGTAAGACAGGTGGGCCACACCTGCACATCACCTCACAAAGGAAGGTAGGTTCGTTTTGAGGGTAGGCGTGATGTGATCATACAGGACTAATTGTGCTTGGCTCAGTAAACCTTTTTCTGCAGGTTTTAAGACATAAAGTCACTCCATTAAGGGAATAGAAGAATCTCTTCATGTACCAGCTGATATGGCCCCATTGCTGTAATTACTATTTGAACACCTGACATATATTTAAAAATAGAACCAAAAATCAGACTCTAACTTTCACTGAGACCCCTTGAGGAAAATATATTATGCTGTCACACCCCTCCTGCTCATGGTAGAACTGGGCTTCTATCACTCAAAGTGTGCTCCCCAGGGAAGACATAACATTTTACAGAAATCCTGAAGCATTTGTCCATTTCTAAAAAAAAACCCAAATACTGTTTCTGTCTCGATTCTGTGATAAATCACTACATATGACTCTCATTTACTTCTGCCCTGACAGCATGTTCTCTTAGTCCTGTCAGGCAATGACAGCCAACATCTCCAGCCATCTAGCCAGACTACCTGCCCTTTGTCAGGTTCTTAATTGAGTTTTTATTTCATTTGTCAGATGGAGCACTTGAGAGTCAATCCTCTTAATGTGACTGAGTCTTCTCTATCACTATAATCCAGCTATAGATATTTAGGTCCTGAGGTATGGCCTTGGACTAAGGAGTCTGGATGTCCATAGCTTTGATCTGATTTGGAGGGTTAGAAGCTTGTTTCTCGCTCTGTCTTCTTTTTATCTATGAATCCTGTGTTCTCTGTCCTCCTAGGGCTGAATTCCTGGGTGCTTTAAAATCATTCTAAAGTTACAGTAATTCTTTTTCCAAACTGAGCAGCTTGCTGAGTCCCTCAATGTTTTTTATGGTTTAGTTTCAATGCGGAGCTAATTGTTTATCATAGAAAAAAAAAATGAAAAAGAAAAAAAAGTGCAAATCTGCAGAAGGTAATACAATGGCAACTGGTATAATCAAAATTAATGTAAAAGACAAAAAAACATAAAGAAGAATTACGGTTTCTTTCAGTGTGGTTGACATTTAGAGGACTTCTTTTCTCCAGGTGTGTACTTTGTGGATATAAAGGTCCTTTAGAAGATGTCTGGCAACCAGAAAACTGCCCAGTGCTGCATAAAAATCAGCACCAGTGGAACCCCTGGGAAGCTTTATTTGAAGAAATGAGAGCTCATTATATGAAATTTCCCATAAGGTCATTCTGAAGAGAAGTAATCGGGAGATAGGTGAAAAAACTTGATTTCTTTGCTTTATAGAGAAATATTTGTAAACTTCCTAGAAACAGCTGTTTCTAAAGGTCTCATTAAACTAGTTTTTTGACCAAGAGCCATTGATAAGCATTCATCTACGGAGGACTACTAGCTCCACTTAAATTGAGGATGGTAGATTTTCAGTGGAGCAAAGCAACAGTTATTTCCCCAGTGCAGAAGGTCACATAAGATACAGTTGAATGTAATCAAATTTTTCCAAGAAACTAATTGTAAATTATTAAAACTTTAAGGATTAGACCTACATGTGTCCAAATGTTCATGAAAATTAGTGTTTTATACAAATACTGGAAGGGTACTGAAACTGAAGTAGGTTCAAGATGTGAAAAGACATAGACTATACTCAAAACATTACATAAAATGAAATAACATGCATGAAAAAGTTAGAGGAGAACATGCATATTTTTGAAGTTTAAATCCAGAATAGATATTTATAAGTCACAACACTTACGGCAAAGAGTAGCATTCCTCCACTCTATGCATATCCCAGCATTGACACATGACTCAGCATAGGCCTGCAGTCCATAGCATAAGGATGTTGCCTGTCCATCAGTGAAACACATGTCGTAAACACAGTTTTCAAAGAAATTCTTTGGAGGCACCTTGGCATGGCAATCTTTGAAGATTCCTGTGTAAATCAAGAAAAATATATAGAAGGACAGAAAAAAAATGGGAATGATAAGATCACCACCACCATCTATTTTCTGTCATGGTGAATGTATTGTGAGTGATCCAGGCTAATTTTGTTTAGTAAGTTAAACCAACACTTGAAATGGAGCATGCACAATGAGATTTGGCAATCTGGATCAGACTTTCTTCCTTTTGTATGATTGATACAATATAGCTTACATAAAGTAGGAGCTGCTGGCTAGGTAAGCCACTAATTCTAGGCAACTGCAGGGGGTCTCCAAAGCAGGGAACATCTACAGAATTTCAGATACAGTATCTGTAATACATGCAATGACAGTGCCCTCTGAACTATTTCTTTGAGCAAGCAGAGTGCAAGTCACTGTAAAGCAAAAAGCAGCTATGGCTCCCTGCGCACATTCTCAGATATACTTAACGGACACGTTGGCACTGTCTGATTGGTTATCATATCTTGACCAAGCACCTATGAGTTTTACGTTGGCCATTCACACTGGAGGTTTTATGAGCTTCTAATGTGAGCTCAGAACAGCAAACTATAGAGAGGAGGCAACACAAGCTATAAAGTGCTCCATCACACAGTTCATACTACCTGTTGGGTCTGTGATCATGCCACATGCTGTGTTCTTCTTTGCTTCACTCTCCAGCACAGGATCACATTGCTCTTGTGTCCCACTCGAGCATCTGGGGAAAGCAAACAAAATCAAGTATGTGTTTCACATCTCTTGCTATCAGATTTTCAGGTGAAGACTGACACATGACAACCCTGCACAGCAGGGTGTATTTCATTACAGTTATAAGACTTCATCCAGCTTCTTTGAAAAGCTGGTATCGGCCCTATCACTGAATGGACTCCCTTTTTGATGCCTTCTGGACTATGCAGAGGCTTATTCTTAGCTGAAAAAAAAGACCTATGGGATCCAATCAGTTATAGTTTCCAATCAGAGGGCTGGACTGAAGTCCCATCTCCCCTTACACTCAGCAGGCAGTTCCTGCTTTGGAAAACAAGACTTAAAGGACACAAGCACTCTTCTCATTCCCTGTTTAAAGTGAAGGGGCAGCTCCCTACTTCTAATGGGCAGTTGGAATATGTAAAATGGGACTGTATGAGAGAGCCAGTGAGTGGTTTGATTAGCAAATGCCATGTGATTAAATTAATATACATACATGGTGTTATTCTCAGGTACAAGCCAGCTTTGTCCCAGATCAGTGGAATCACTTGCAATGTCACCATTGGGCTTTATGTTGTCATCATTTGGATCACCATTATAATTACCTGTGAGGGTAAAAAGAGATTTATGGGACACATGAAGTTCACAACTGTAGAAAAAACCCAGGTTTTAGCTGTAAAAAAAATTACTACAAACTAGGAAGAGTATATATACAACATCAGTGTGTGCTGGGTAAAATAAGGAGAGCTCGACAGTGTTTTAGACTTTGATCACTGACAAGAGCTGCCATTCAGACACTTGTGGACTTGAGAAAAGAAACCTGTAAGTTCTTATGTAACTAGATCACATCGCATACAAGAAAGAATCACTTAGCTAGAAAAACCCAACTCATTTCTTTACACCCTACCTGTAGAATGTTGGACTAAAAATCAAATGGTATTATTTGCACCATTATATTCTTAGGTAGTTTGCCTGAATGGAAAGTGTGCAAAACCCATGGAGAGATAATTGAACTAGGAAATTTCGGATGATCCAAATCAAAGAATAATCAGAAACTCACAAGACAAGCTACTCTTGTAATTTCTACAATCCCATTTCCATCCTGAAATGCATTTCGTATAATCACCTGGATTTCAGAATGTTCTTCCAAATACACCTGCTCAAGTCCAGGCTTTAGCAACATTGCTGATGAAAAATTACTGGTCACTGCTAATTCCAGCAAGCTTCTGCTCTCATTAGCTATGTAAGCCACCCATGACTCTTATTTATTTTTCTATCCTATTGTAATAGAATTTCTTACAGAACACAATAGAATGTGCCCTTTTGTGTCTGATCTTTCTCACAGGACTCTAAAAGGCCTCTATATTTTGTATCATGTACAGCACTTAATATTTTGTGTTGCTTGAATTTTGGAATAAAGTATGAATTTTCTTTCCTAATCATCAAGTCTGTCAGCTCAGGATTATCCATTTTGGACCCTTGTCATTGCTTTGTTTTAATGTAGGCAGTGCCTATCTTAGCTGGAATAAAAAGTAGGTAAAAATGAGCCTTTTCTTTCTTTTTCTTTTATTTAATCTTTTTTTTTTTTCCTTTGATCATATAAACATGATCATTTAGGTTATGTAAATACCTTCTAAAATAGCACAGGAAAACAACAGCAGGAAAGTTTGAGGATGTTGACAGTAAGCTACTCTGAAGATTGCTCTCTCCTGTGGAAACAGCCTCAACTTTTTATGATTCATGAAATGAAATGATATAGCATTCCCCACACCCAACAATCTAAATAACAGAAAAATGTATTTGCGGAATTTTTGAGTAGATGTGTGCAAATCAGTACTCTTCCTAAATTTCAACTGTAGAACTGAAGTGAGGTTTTTTATTTGGCTAAAAATGTTATTTGTAGTTATACCTCGCAACATTCCAAATGGATAGCATGTTACCAGGAATTTTGTAAGTAACAGTTTTGAGAAACTGAAAAATTCTACCGCGTTTTCTCCACTGCTATAAATTCTAGTCCGGTTGACAAGGACTAGCTGTGTGGAGAGCAAGTATGACATGCTAAGAAAAGAAGTTGAAGTAATCACCAGCCCCCATATCACACTAAAAAGTGACTAAGCCTATGACTTACCACAGAGGCCACAGAGCAGACCACTGTAAATAGAGGGCACGGAGACTTCTGCGTAGTGATTTCCATCATATCTCACCCACAGTCCAAAGTCAGTTTCCAAGAGAACATATCCACCACTGCTTTGAATACTGATCTTCTTTTCAATAAATACGGGCAGGTTCATTCTGCTGCCATTCACCTGTACAGCAAGTTGTAAAAGTTAGTGTATGGCTGCTGGGACTCCTAAAACTACCATCAGCTAAAATACAATAGTGAAAAAGATGATCTTATGCACAAGGGAACTGGGAGTCATTAAAGAATGCTTCATCTGAGCAAATTTGTTGGACATCTCATTAAAAGAGGTATGTCTAGTAATAAAAAGAGAAAGTTTGCTATCAACTCTACAATCAGAGGAAATATTTCATTATCTGCATGTCAGTTTAAAAATATTACATATGTCTTTTAAACAAGTATTTTCTTACATTCACTTTCTTGTTTTTCAGCAAAGAAATCTGGTTGCCATAGACTTCCACTTGCACTGACTTCACATAAGAGACTTTGGTGTTGGCTCCTCTGTGCTCATTTGTTGTGGACACATCGAAGTATGGAAGCCTCTCAGAGACATTGCACACTTTGGAGAGGGTGTAAGTGCAATTTCCCATGAAATTATGAACTCTGTGGTCAAAAGTGTTATAATGTGGATCCCCAGAGGCGCTGCAGGAAGCACGGCCTGGGAAGAAAGAAAGAACGAATAATTTCCTCTGAATCTCTACCAGAATTCTGCAGATGCTTTGTTCTCACTTCGTTTGTTTTATGTTCTAATTGCTGCTCAGATATAATAGTGATGCCATCAGTCAAGAATATTCCAAACGCCAGCCGAGCCTCCCATCTTTGGACGCATAAAGAATTTGTACTCTTAGGTATCAGAAATCTATGCTAGAGGTTGAGGAAGAAATAGAAAGAAAAAGATGGAATATAAAAAACACCTTTGTTATTAAGACATCGATATATAAAACAGAGCAGTGAGTTATCAGTGTCCATGTCTGAAAGACTATTTCTGACTAAATAGGAAGAATCTACTCAAAAACTTTAGAGGGTTTGTTAGCCAGAATAGACTGCTGCACTACCAGCTGTGTGGGGTTCTGTACTCACATCAGTTATGGAACTCATATTGAATACTGCATACACAAGATGTCCTTTTTACATACTTTTAAAGAATATGGAAGTTAATTTACCAGTGATAATATGTACAAATGGTGGTACACAGTGTGTATGCATTTATGTGTAAGAGCTGGTTAAGGTTTTTTTATGGTGTTTCTCAACAACAACAACAAATAATGAAAAGAAGTCCTCATCTTTTCTCTGCTTTTCAATAGAGTCTTACAAAAATAGCTACACTTATGGTTGTATCTACACACCAACCTTAACAGCTTAGATACAAACTATTAAAACTCTAGGAACTACATATATAACAATTATCAAAAAAAATCCCAGAGGACAGCAAAACTGACTACGTGAGCTAGCACTCTCTTGTACATAACAAGCTGACACATGTAGAAGACTTAGTGCTTAAAACTGGAGGAAAGAAGCAGCTAAAACTTATCTAAACTGACATTTTAGTGTATTTCCTAAGTACTAAAATAACAGTAACGACACCGTCAGTATTTCCAGGACCATATAACTGGATTATAACCAAAATAAAAACAGAAATTGGAAGCTAAATTAGATTTCAAAATACTATAAGCAACAACACCCATAAAACAGAAGAAAACTTGCCATAGAGAAAGGGTAATTTAAATATTTAGGGACATGGCAATAAAGGGTATGTGAAATAACTATCAGGCAGCTGGTGTACTGTTACCAAAAACCCCAACAATGTGGCAAAAGAAACCCAGAGCAGGACATCAATAGTGACTACTCAGAAAGAGTCCCAGCACTGAAGGGCTGTCCCACGAAGGTGATTGAGTGAGCAAGAAAAAGCTCTGACTCGCCAGTATAAAAACTCTGTCACTTAGCTATGGGACCTGTATTAAGAAAGCTGAGGACCTATGACAGGAAGTAAGAGGTAACAATGAAGTGTGGCAGTACCTGAGCTCGGTGTGGGTTTCGGTGGTGATGGCGTGTGTGGAGGCTGCGTTGTAGTACTTCGCAAGGGGGTTGTGGGTTGTGATGTCGAAGGACCTAGAAAAGAAGGAGTTAGAGGAGATCTGTGTCAACATGGCAGTTTTGTAGTAGGAAGCTGGTCCACCTTTCCCAAGCACCAGAACACTGTGACCAGAGAGGCCCAGGGTAGGGATCACACAGTGTCTCCTGAGCAATAACTCGAGTACATGGGTGCTCTCCCACACACACTGTCGGTTGACAGAAGGAGACGTGCAACTCCTTCACTACAGTCACTCCATCCAATGGTCGTGGGCCTTAAAGGAAGTGAAATGAATGGTTGCGACAAGTAGTAGAAGGTGGGGATGGGATTTGGCAGTACCTGAGCTTGGTGTGGGTCTTGGTGTATGTGGAGGCCGCGTTGTGGTGTTGGGAGAGGTGGTCCCAGGCTCTGGGGTTGATGGACCTGGCACAAAAGAGAGTTAGAGGAGATCGGGGTCAACATGGGAGTTTTGCTGCAGGTAGCTTGTCCACCCCTCCCAAGCACCACAGCACTGTGACCAGAGAGGCCCAGCTC